GAAAAGGGAAAATATTCAGTGAAAAAAAACTTTTTCATGTGATAAATTATTTTGGACAACTATATGTTAGCAAATTACCGAAACAAGAATGTATACAATTTATCATAAAGTTAAATGCTGGCTGACGTTTTTCATACTAATTGTTAGGTTATTATTAATACACTGAATTTTCAACAGATTTTCCGTTATTTGCCTATAATGGATAATGAGAAGTAGCACATGGGTGGCATGAACAGTCGGCAGGGGATGCTCTCTTTTTTCATTGCACATGATCCCGCCTCGAATTTTTGGAGGTCCATGTTTTCTCTGCTCTAAGTAAAGTATTGTCTGACGGTCTTCTGAGCTTGAATACTGTTCCTTTTATTTCATACCCTAGGTATAATATTATATGCAAGACTTCAAATCGTCTTGTCAAAATCCTGTAGACTTACCAAGGTCAGATTTTCTGCGCCAAAACAATATTATCTGTGTTGATTACGAAAATTATTTGTGGTATGATATTATTTAGCGTGTTCAAAAAGTTTACCTTTTAAGTCACGTGGTTACATAGGGTATAAATAGTAAGGCCATGCGGTGGCACGGCACTCTAGGCTCGCTCGCTAGGATTAAAAGATTACATATAGTATGGCTGATGGAATGGAGGCAATGAATTTGGGCTATACCGTTGTATTATTTAAGATGGTTATGTGTTACATGTAGCAGTCTATAATTGAATAAAAGCACTAGCGAGTAGCTTTCCTATTAATATGTGTTGTGTTTAATTCATTTAGCACTTCATTAATTTATAATCGAACAAACAAAGCAAGGGAAAATATAAAGAACTTGAAATTTATTGGTGTCGCCAAGGCTCGTTTTCTATTGGACGCAGTGAGCTGTAATGAGATGAGCTGTAACGTAATGGTCCGACGGTGCGGAGAAACAATCAAAACATCGAGGTCGATATAATTAGAAGTGAATCATTGACGTCATTATTCTTAATTCAAAAGCTTTAATTTATCATTATTACTAATTCGGATAATTAAGGTTATTGTTCTAACTTTGGGTGCCCTCCAGATTCACTCCATGTTCAGTCAGGGTCAGCTCTTGGTCAGCAAGAGCGAACTTGGTATTCGCTTTCTGGGGACCGTTTTACGCACTGATGCGTCGAGCGGACCCCGCTTTAATCCCGCCGCCAGTAAGCCCTGCCCCTCGTATATTCCAATACAGTAATGAGATTGTGGAACGATCATTGTTGTTTACGCGACGATTTATATATGTACACTTTACATGTAAACAGTGACATTTTGGAGAACATTGACCAATTTTCCAAAATGTTACTGTACATTCGACATAGATTTACAAGACTGTATAATTAATTCATTTCCTTTATTTCTTCGATTTCGGAATTTCATTCCAGAGAAATTCAAAGTTATTAAACAGCGGGCTATTAGGAATTTACTTTTCTTTAGTTTTAACGTGAAAACAGAAACACAAGAGGACGAAAGAGGTGTTTTTTTCAATGTATGGAATGGTGTACAAGTGAAACTGACGAGTGCGCCTTAACTAAATACCTTTCAAATTCATGCGTTTAAAATAATATTTGTTATTCCTCAAGTTTTGCTTTTTCTTAGTTTAAATGTTTGCCAAACACGTAAATTATGAAATCGCACCTATAAATTACATGCAACCTTTTGTACACGTGATATATTTAAATTTCATTTATGGTAGTAACACATTAAAAATAAATACTTACCGGACATTTTATCAAAAAAAAAAAAATTACAACAGGTCTTTTTCCCGCTCTGAATTATTGAGCGAGTAGGATTTAAATCAGAATAAAAAAATAAAATAAAATGCCAATTAATAATTGTGTGGTAGACCAAATTTATAATAATCTATCTCATGTATTTATTCGCTTTGGGATCATTCTATTTTTCGTTTCATCTAAATTAATCTTAAATATTTTTATCTTCAATTTCATTGGTTCATTTGATATTATCCAATAGTTTTAATTTACGTTGAGTATAAGTAAGCAAAATTGGGCAGTATTAAATTTTTAAAGAAGAAATTATATCCGGCTAAAATCCAATTCATCTTGTGGTATGTTATTTTCATATTTAGATATTTGTTACTTTACTATTAAAGATTTGGGTATAACATATTATTTTCGTTGCGAAGTTTATACTTTATCGTATTTTTGCAGTTAAAGTTGTCTTGGTAAATTCTTTTATTTTTGTCTTTTCAAAGTTCATTTTGCTACAGAACATTTTTTTCTTTCTTAAATATGTATACTGAATATACGGTAACTTATTGTCAATGTTAATGAAACGATAAGTAACTTGTATTTTTTCTAATGTATTCTTTTTATTTCTTATAGGTCAATGTCTTCTTGTTTCCAGATACTTAATAAATACGAGGGTTGATCTAAAAGTAATGTCACAGCTTCGATAAAATCGCTGCCCGTCGACGTAAAACAACAAAATTATTAATGATGAAAGCTACATTTATTTTAAATCTGACCTGAAAATTTCAATTCAGAATGATTAATACTTTTCAAAATATCGGGTTATATACAAATTGCGATTTTGGTAGTCGCCCCACCTAAGTAACGTCAAATGACGGATACGCAACGTCGTACATTTAAACGCTTCCATTGGTTTCATTTAAATATGAGAGATCAACGAACACGTCCACAAATTTCACCATCTTAAAGAAAACTTCCTACCCATAGTAAACTCACTCTTTCCATAATTCATTCTTCTGTCAAAATTTTTGAACAGTAGTATAAGACCAAAATGGATACCATCAACTTGGTCATCATTTGCCATTAACTGCTCGGCTACAATTGTTCCCCAGGCCCAATAAGAATATATAAATAAATCTCCCTACTTCACACACACACACACATTTAAAAAAATTATCTTAACAAAAATATTTCTTAATATTTAAATATAAATAAATACAGGAAACTTCAAGACAAAGGGAGAGAGAGAGAGAGAGAGAGAGAGAGAGAGAGAGAGATCATTACTGCAAACCCTCATTATTAGACTAGATTTTAATAATAAAGTCTGAGTTGTCCTCCCAATCCTGTACTCGAATTGTTTTCTATAAGTCTGTTGCGGATATTTTTTTCAAACAATACACTGGAAGATGTACATGTAATTTTTTCATGCCCTTTTAACGAGGCTGGGGGGTGGCAGCCATTTTTAGACTATTTCAAATCTCCTTTAAAAGGAGAGCTCCATATAAAGATATACAAAAATGATCAAATTTTAAAACTTAAATCTTTGAATGTCAAATGATAGTTGACAGCTAAAGATACTGTATCTGAAAAATAAGTTAAATCTGGTGGTTAATTCTCTTTTCTCTTCTTTTTGTCAGCAAAAATTGTAATACCAATTATTGAAATCCCTTTTCAAGCATCGACTGATGTATTTACCCAATTTATTTACCAATGGACTTTAAACACTGGTATAAAAAACTGAAGAAAATGAATACGTCATTATTCAGGTATCTTTCAACGTGGAAAATCAAAATATATAATTTATTAATTGCTTTAACAAAAAAGAATATAAAAATATGAATATAAAATACAACCCGGAGAATTAAAACCAATCGTCAAATCAATATGCTATTTTGATTGGTTGACCCGCTCATTGGTTAATCGCTAATCCTGATTAACAGCTCTGTAAAGAAATACTGAACGCGCGTTTGCACTTTGGGACCGCTACTGAATTTGGGGTTTGCTCTCTGGGTCCGCTTCGGGTTCTCTCGGGGTCAGCCCTAGGGGACCCCGAGCGAACCCGAAGTAGATCCAGAGAGCGAACCAAGGGTGCTCTCAGAGTTTGCTTTCTGTTAGGTTGTGTTCGGTCGGTACTGTAGGTCATTCATTTTTATGATGGTCTATTTCAAAGGTTTGATATGAAATATATTCATGAATGTGGTACTAAATGTATTCATTTTGTCAACATTTAAAGTCACTACACACTTAAGAAATTATTAGCAACATTACTATATATACAGGTATGTACATTATACATTGTAAATTTATATTTCGGAGTGGTTAGCGTATACGATAATTGCTTTTTGTTATGAACGAAAGGTCTTAACAACATTTTTCAAAACCGGAAACTTCGTCAAAGTGCTACACTTGTAAATATCGACAACGGAAACTTCGACAAAGTGGGACCTATTACAATTATTTTTCGATTCAAAACGCACTGAGAGAATGGCACTATCTAGTGTTTACATTTATGAGCGTATTTACAAAAGCATTGACAAAACTTCTAATAGTACACTAAGTTCACAGACTCAGGAATGTACATCAAAAACATTTTCACTTAATATTAGAGTATTGGAGAGGTCCCTGTTTTTAACTCTTGGGTCAATCCCGCGATCGCGATTTAGAATGAATTTCATTTTTGGATTTTGAACGATTTACATTTATATAGCACTTGTTTCGAACTATATGTAATCTAATTTTGCTACGTATATGGACGCTGGATGCTGACAATGGGATGAGGGATATTACAGACAGGAAAAATTCACTGAATCTCCCAAATTTATTGTCTTCAACTTAGCGAGTAAATTTTCCAAAACAATTAAGGCATACCTTTCATTATGAAAAGTTATATACATGTACATAAATAAGCTACATAACATTTATTTATGCATTGTGACGTTATTAAATGGGTCATTTAACCCATTTCCTTTTAGCATGGACCCTAGTATTTTTTTTCAAAATTTCATATCGAGAACAACTTTAATTCAAAATATGGATTTATACCATGAAACGTGTATCTGAAGATCAGAAAAAATATGTCTTTTTTTCTCTTGCACTTTGCCCATATTTTAATTATTTGCTGTTGGTTATCAAAAATATCAGTATTCTGAAAAAAATAAAAGGGCAAAGGATTTTCATAAAGCCTGTTTTTAATACCTTGGTTCTCCAAATGAAATTTTATTGTAGGAAACAAGGGCATTAGTTCGTTACTTTTTGATATTTGAAAAGGTCAGTGGTGATATCAAAAAATTATACAGTGAAACCTGTCTGATCCGACATGCACTTGGAGATGAAATTTATTTCCGAATAGACAAGATGTCGGATTAAACAGTTACAGAAACATGGAAAACAGTAAAATGGGAACAACATTTAACGTCAGAATTTACAGTGTGACGGATTAGACAGGTGTCGGATAAGTTTTTCACTGCATAAGGACAAGGCCTTCTTTTGCATAACGTGAACCTATCTCTTCGACCAGAATGTCTATAGATATCATGTGCCATACATACTGTCAATATAATGCTGAGAAAAATAACACACAATGACATTTACAAAACATTCAGGAAACAACTTAAGCAAAAAATCTTTTCGCTGTAAAACACAGAACCTACTCCCATCTCTGAGGTCCTTTTGGCTTCTTCTCCTATTTTGAATTGTTTAATGGTTTTTTGATATATCCATATGTTTCACGGAAAATGTTTAAAAAATTATCTTATGCAATTTTTAAGCCGGGGACAATATGTCGCGATGGAAAAGGGTTTATGTATTGAGGGAGATGGATATTGTCGCCCACACCAACGTGTACGATACGGCAATATGTACCATCAAAAAGGTGATTTTGGCTTATTGTGACTGAGTATGGGTACTCGAGGATAACTCTATACCTTATTGCAAAGGACGTTATTCAGCTTGATGAAACAATCAACAAAGACACAGCTAGTCTGGTTGCATTTCTGACACTGAATGAAAGATCCTCTCTGATCATCATCAACAGGAACACCTACACAATAAATGCAAAAAAGTAATATACATGTATAAGAAAAGAAACTGTTAATATCATATAATTGTATAATTCCGGATGTCATGTAAAGCATACATGCAATGAAATAATATTATATATAATTTTTTGTATCCTTAGAGTCCACCAGCAAATATAGACTATATCCTGAATATCATGCCGATTAATTGAGTTATATGTTTACCTCAATTATCTATCTTTTGTTATTATTCCTCAATATAATTAGTCTACACAAGGCGTAATCTTATTAATTCTAGTTTATCAGGGGATCGGGCCATCAAACTTCATGTTTAACGATCGTCGGCATACTTTTTAGCTCACCTGAACCAAACTTGCCACAATTCATTCTTTTGTGAAGAGGACTCAAGTTTGTTCAAATGAAGAGCCACGCCCTCATTCAAGGGGATATAATTGGGTATTAGTGAAAATTTGGTGGCTTGTTTTAAAAATCTTCTTCTCAAGAACCACTGTACCAGGAAAGAAAAATACTTATGGGGAAACAACCTCAGGTAGTGTAGATTCAAGTTTGTTCAAATCATGACCCCCGGGGATAGGACGGGGCCAAATGGCGCCCGATCAAAGTTTTACATGGAGAGATATGGATTTTTTTTTTAAATCTGAAGAAGAATAGCAAAGCCATGCTTGGTCATTCTTGGTCATTGGACTACTTTTGGATTTAACCAATTTTTACTTTTTCCTATCCACAGTTCTCAGGTGAGTGATTGTGGCCCATGGGCTTCTTGTTATCATATTCTACCTCTTTGGATACTTATTGTATTTTCCCGAAATACAGAAATTGTTTGTTGAGAGAAAACTCCCAAGAATACGAGGGGCGTTCAATAAATAATGTCATTGGGGCTCGGAGAGAAACAAAAAACGGTTTTCTATGACTATGTCTTAATGATTTAACTAAAATATTCTCCTTCAATTAAAACGCATATCCGTAACATTTTCATTCAATTTCTAATTTTTTTTCGAACACATATTTGAGTATGACCCTTCGTATACTGGAATATGGCAGATCCTTTGATTTGCTGTACAGTACCGACCGGACACATACAACCTAATAACAGAAAGCAAACCCGGAGCGGACCCCAGGCTCGCTCTCTGGGTCCGCTGCGGGTTCGCTCGGAGTTCGCTAGGGCTGACCCCGAGCGAACCCGGAGAGTACCCAAAGCGAAACCGTCGCACACCCCGAGCGAACCCGAAGCGGTCCCAGAGAGCGAACCCCCAAAACAGTAGCGGTCCCAGAGAGCGAACGCGCGTACGGTATACCATTCTTTACCGAGCTGTCAATCAGTAATAGCGATTAATCAATCAGTAATAGCGATTAACCAATCAAAATAGCATATTAATCTGTCGATTGGGATAAAAGATCGAACGTGTTAATTTTATTCAATATATATCCAAACATTGTACATACAAGCAAAACGTTAATAGTTACAGTGTAAATTTATGATGATAATTAAAAAATTATTTAATACTTATTTATTTTAATTCTCCGGGTTGTATTTTATATTTTGTTTTTTTTTTCTTATTAAAGCAATTAAAAAAATTTATATTTTAATTTTCCACGTAAAATGATACATGAATATTTACGTATTTAATTTCTTTTGTTCTTTATACCAGCATTTAAAGCCCATGGGTAAATAAATTGTGTAAATACATCAGTCAATGAGTAAAAAGGGAAATCAATAATTGGTGTTACAATTTTTACTGACAAAAAGAGGAGAGAAGAAAAATAGTTGGTCTTTGACAAATATTGTAAAATTTAATCATCTCAAGATACTAACAGTACAACAATATTTACGTGCCCATTATTCAATAATTTTATTTCAATTTTCTCCACCTACGGGTTCCTTTAAATTATTTAAAATTCACATCAAAATTATTGTTTTTTTAATTGTGCATTAAAAAATAATTACATGTACATGTACATCTTCCTGTATATTTTTGAAAAAAAAAATATTGCAGCAGGCTTATAGAAAACAACTCGAGTTCGGGATTGGGCGGACGTCTTATAGAATTTAAGAAAAAGTCATCAGGCTTTATAATTAAAATCTAGTCTAATGATCAGAGTTAATACAGTTAAGATCGTTTTTCTCTCTCTTTCTCTCCCTCCCTCTCTCTCTCTCTCTCTCTCTCTCTCTCTCTCTCTCTCTCTCTCTCTCTCTCTCTCTCTCTCTCTCTCTCTCTATTTTCTGTATCTATTTATGTTCAAGTATATTTTGAAATATTTTTTGAAAGATTACTTTTCATTTTGTTAATACGAGTGTGTGTGAAGTAGGGGAGTATATTATATTCTAAGCGGGCGGGGGGAACAATTATTATTTGTCATTTTTATTTATTTCTTTCATTCTGATTAAAATCACATTCGATCCATTATTCTGAGCGTGAAAAAGATCTGATATAATTTTTGTTTGAAAATGTCCTGTAAATATTTATTAAAAACTTTTAATGTGTAACTACTATGAATGAAATTTAAATATACCGGGTATCACGTGTACAAAAGGTTAATGAAATTTATAAATGCAATATCATAATTCACGTCTTTGGCAAAGATTTGAACTATGATTTTGCTAACCTTAAGGAATAAGAAATATAATTTTGAATTTTATATATAAAAATATAAATTTAGATTTTAATTTTATACACATGTAACGCATGAATTTGAAAGGAATTTTGTTCAGATGCTAACTTCAGTTTCACTTGTACACCATTCGATACATTTGAATTAATTCAAAACCTTTTTCTTCCTCTTCTGTGTTTGTTTTCACGATATAACTAAAGGTAATAAATCCCCAATACCCGCTTGTTAAATAACTTTCAATTCCTCGGGATCGAAATTCCGAGATCGGAGAAATCAAGGTAATCAATTATATATACATGTTAATCTACGTCGAATGTACAGTTGAATTTTGGAAAATTTATCAATGTTCTCCATAATGTCACTGTTTACATGTACAGTGTACATGTATCGATCGCCGCATAAAAAACAATGATCGATCCACAATCCCAATATTGTTTCGGAATATACAAGGGCCGGGGCATAATGGCGGCAAGATTAAAGCGGGGTCCGCTTCATGCATTCACGCAGTCCCTTAGAGAACGCGGAATGAACCCGGAGAGCACCCAAACCGAACCCAGAGCGGTCCCAAAATTTCTGAAAGCGAACCCGAAACGGACCCCGAGCGAACCCACGAAGCAAACTCGGGGTCCGCTTCGGGTTCGCTCTGGTGTAAGGTTGTTTGCGGTCGGTACTGTACTTGTTTTTTTTTTCTTTCTGATAGATGTTTTTGTAAGTTTAGAAAATGAAACTAGTCATAGGTTGAAAGATCTAGCAAATTTTGTTGTTGTGACAAAACATTTACTTTCTGGTTATCCCCAAAACTCCTTTACTCTTCATGACCTGTGGGTTTGGCCGCCGTCATGAAGACATTAAATGTAGTGTATTTCTCATTCTGTTTCATAACTCTCATAAACCTTTCAATTGTTTTGCAAAAATTGTTCTCTAGACTCCTCCCGATATTTGAACTTTCTCCCCAAATATGAATTGAAGAACAAACCCGCTAATTATAATATTATTTTATAATAAAGAAAATAGCATATAAAACTGTTTTATGCTCCTGCAATTCTTTGCCCTTCTTAGGCCTTTGCAGTTTTGTCAAGTGCATCTTATTGTAAATTTGTTTTTAGGGATTAAAGCAAAATGGATTCAAGTTTCATTATTTGTTAGAATTTCAAACAAACCTGGATAAGTACCATTTTTGATTTTCTAAAAGAATTGTTTGGATATTCCTACAAGGTGTCGTTTTCACTCATTTTTCAAAATAAAGGGTGACCTTTGAGTATTAAACTTTTTTTAACTGTAAACTTTTTATTAATAACAGTCTGAACTGTCCCCAAAATGATTTTTATCAATTTTGCTATGTGTCTTAAAGTCAATAAAACATAATCAGTGATAGTTTGTTGAAATTTTCGCAAATTTACATCGGTTGTTGAAAGTCATTGTTGTCAAGGACGGTACCCATTTTTGATGCCCATTGTTATAATTTTTGTTTATTGAAATCTACTTGATCATCTGTCTATAAAACAGGCATTGGTTACTGTAAATTTCACATATTTCAGTTAATATATTTTAGGAATATATACAAGTTTAACAGCTCCTTTAATGAAGCGTTTAATTTTACTCTTGTTTCCTGATTCTTGACCATTCATTTTTAATGCTGTGTCTCGTATAGCCCTTGTTTTCCATCTTCCCACGATGAAATAATGCGATGAAAAGTGGTCACACAAACTGTTTTCAATTTACTAAAGATTCAATAATGAGAGAAAGTCAAGCTTTATGTCATATGACTACTATGTTGTATGCCATCGAGCTAATGACATTATTTATTGAACGTCCCTCGTAGTAAACGTCACAATAGCCTGATTTACGTCACAAAATTGCTGATTAGTGATGTATCAAAGAGTTTCAGTAACTTTACATCATAAAATGAAAGTTATTTTGAGAGCAGTGTAGAATTTGAAAGTCAATGCTTATTTAAAAGGTTTTGATTGTTTCGGTATAATAAACAATTCATTGCATGAATGTTCAGGAAACACGAAGATTTATTCAGCCAAGGATATATCCTATTGTTTAATTTGATTTTCTTAGTTGAATTGTGGACAGAGGGAACACAGAGACAGACAGAAGGCTAGAAAAAATTTATTGCATCTCAATAACATTAAATTCCAGGGTCTCATAACAGGACAAAATGTGGTAAACGAATTATGTTTCAATGTATTGAACCCCAATTAGAAACATTAATAACAAGTCCCCGACTTTTATTAGATTCTAAATGAGATGAATAAGTCATTTAAAATTATTAACCTTGATCGTATCCGATATAAACTTCTTTGGCAATACCAAGCCATGATAGACCAGCTCTTGTCCTTTGCAATGCCTTACATGTCAAGGAAGCGTTCGTGGATGAAATGTTTCCATACAAGTATGTAGGCTGGGTCCATGTTTTGCACCATTTCATTGATTCTGTCCAATTCTGCTGAGCATCCATGTCTGTGTAAAAAGATAAAAACGTAAATTATGCATAGGAACGTAATTAGAGAGTAAAATGTATGAAGACATTTCTTATACTGTAATATTAAGTGAAAATGAGGTATCCATCAAATGGTATTAATTTTAAATGTATTCTCATTTTGAAAATTTAATATTTACAACATGTTGACGATATAACTCTATCCTATTTTAAATGTAATTTGGAATATAACAATGTCGCAGGTCAGAAAAAGTAAACGCTTCAAAAATGTTCTCCCTTTTTCCAAAGTAATGATCATCAAATACAGCATTTTATATATTTTAACGCACTTAATATCAGTTGATAGTTACAAAGATAGAAAAAACTTTGTTAACACTGAAGAGAAAAAAATACATTACGTGTATGAGAAGATATGTAGTTTTTAATGAAAAGATTGCAAATTCATTTTAGCTAAATTGACCATGCAATGAAAAGAGACGCAAATTACTTCCCTGTATATACATGCATGATATGACAATTGCTCCATATTTTATCAAACTTATATAATGCAGGGTTCACAATTAAGTTCATTTGTCATGTAAAGTAAATTGTTGTTTAAACAACTCAGCTATGTTAAGGAAGGTCAGAGTTCACATTCCTTGTACATCGTATTGGAAGTTTAATTGTAACGTCATTGAAATTTAACAAGCCACAAAAATTAATTAACGACATTATCATGCGTAAATCATAACTTGATTTTATTTATTTTATCGATTATCTATAAAATATTGTATAATTGCAATACTTGATAGCGATACAGTCGAGTAATAGAAGAAAGCCTTTCGTCAAATATGACGTCACCAGCCTTGACATGAAGCAGTACAAGTGATCCAGATGACTAGATTCACTGCTTTAATAATTACAAGAATGCTTGAATAAATATGATACCATTGCTAATTTTTAAACCTATTCATTTAAACTAAAAGAAAATAATTTGTTAAATAGAATGTGTACAGAACATGAATTTATTATTATCTAATTATTATCTAATATCATTGAAGCTGCACAGGGATAATGAATGTAGGGAATATCGCTAAAACGATGAGCGTATTTGTGATTTACATCAAAAGTGCAAGGGCATAGATTATTTTGTTTGAGCTGAAATTTGGAATATTTATTGTTTATATAGTGTATATTTTGAAAAGTGCTGGGAGCTGATCCTGGTCTGCATAACATTAATTTAATTTATAAGAATTTAAGGAAAGTGGAAATTTTTAGTTATTATAAGCATTTTTGGCAAAATTTTCAGTACTTCGCAATCAGCACTGACTTGAAAATTGACCCGGGGATCATTTTTTAACGTTGAATATTGAACACCGGGTGTTTTTTCTCCGTTGCAAATTGAGACCAAAAGTCGTTGAATTTGTACCCGGGGTCATTTTTCCACAGCTTTGATATCCCTGAAAACCTCAACAATTTGTTGAAAATTGACCCTGTTGAACATTGACCCCACCTCAGAGTTTAATAAATTTTTTAACTGGGAAGTTGTTTTACGGGATTTATCAGGGTCGCTATATTTATTATATCGATTTAATTTTTTTCGCTTTTCAAGAATAATAGAAATAAACCTATCATCCAGTGTATATTTGTACATTTTGATCCGTACACGATTTCAGTTATCTTCAAGCTTGACATCTTTATTTTTTCCCCGCTTCCGCGAAAGCGAAGGGACATTAAATCTCATTCGTCTGTCAGTCTGTCCGTCCGTATGTCTAGCTGCCTGTCCGTCACAAAAACTTTAACCTTGTCCATAATTTTTGATTTAGTGGAACTATGACTTTAATATTCCTGGTGACAATACCTTTCTTTGGGTACCACCAAATTTGACCTTGACCTTAGAGTTTCACCCATTTTTACACATAGATTTTTGAATATTTCTTTGGCCTTAACTTTTGAACAGTAGATACTAGAGCTTTATATTTGAAATATGTATTCTTTGTGGTAAGACCATTCATGAGATATCAACAACTTTGACCTTTTGACGTTGACCTTGGAGATTTTCGTACTTATGAAAAAAAACTTTAACCTTGACCGTAAATTTAAAGTGGTACGGACTAGGGTTTTCATACTTCAGATATATAATCCTTGTAAAAAGTCCTTTCATGGGATAACAAGAACTTTGATCTGATGACCTTGAACTTTAGCCCATTTTGAAAATCTTTAACCTAGACCATAACTTTTAAAGGGTTATCGCTAGGGCTTTCATACTTCAAATATGAAATCCCTTGACAAGTCCTTTCATACTTTGACCTTGACCTTGGAGATTGACCTACTTTTTAAAAACTTTAACTTTAACCATAACTTTCGAATGGTAAGGGCTAGGGCTTTTATACTTTACATAAGTAATATTGTGAGAAGATCTTTCATTGGATACCAAGAACTTTGACCCTTTTACCTTGGCCTTGGAGTTTGACCTACTTTTTAAAATTTGGGTACTGATATATTTGTTTTAAATTGCATTTAAGAAAAGTTAAATCTTCGCTTTGTTGCCATACGGGGTGATCATTGTTTTACAAACGCATTTTGTTCCTTTTAACTTTTGATTAAGAAGAGATAGGGCTTTCATATGCCTTGGCCTTCACGATTGACCTTATCTTTTTTTAAATCAACTTTGTTGATAATTTCTAAATGACATATAATATGGCGTTCATATTTGACATCTCACACACAAAGACACCGAAAGCGTGGGACCACAATTCTTTCAATTTGCTTGTTGACAATACTTTCTAAAATCCATAGCATCCATAAATAATGACAAAACTATGAAAGGAACATAAAACAAAACACCTGGAAATCTGGTGTCTAGTAAGTGAGCCCTATATATATTGATCATGCAGGTGGGCAGAACATGCCATCTAGTCAAATTCAGTATAAAAATTAACAAAACTAATAGCCTGAAAAATTAGAATGAAACACATTGACCAAAATGATTGTATGTTGTTGAACGTCCCTCTCGAGAATTTTTCACTCATATGGAGACGCCACCACTTGCCGGTGGAGGGCTACAAATTTTGTCCTATGCTCGGCACTCAGAGCCTTTGAGCGGTGAGGGATCTTTTTCGTGCCAGCACCTACTGCAACACGGGGCCTCGGTTTAAACGGTCTCATCCGAAGGACCGGTCTCCAAGTCCCGCAGTCGGATTCGAACCCGCGACGTAAGGATTGATTCCTTACTTCGCGACTCTAGAGCAGACGCTCTAACCACTGCGCCACGCAGGCGACGACCAAAATGAATCCAATGATAGGTTACATTTGTGAAAAAAGATTAATATAGCGACTATAGCATGTAGTAATACTGACATTACACAAGGTTGGTGAAATCCCTGTAACAAACTTATCTGTCAGTAGCCTGCCTTGGCTTACAAATTGATCGTTTTCGGAACATAACCTTGAAAATGAGATTCTTATTCTAAAACATATCATTCTTATTCGATATAATGTGATTCCTATTCGATACAATATGATTCCTATTCGATAATTTGTATTCAATAAATTGCTATTCCCACTGGAGGAAATATGACAATATGATTCCTTTATATCATAATACATGTAATCATTCTTTTCGAAAACATGCGTTTCCTATTCGATGTCATTCCTATTCGCTATTTTTTTTCATTCCTATTCGATAATTTTATTTTTCTTATTCAATAATTATTTGGTTTATGTGCAGTAAAGTTGTTGTTCGAAGACATACTAGCATCCATTTCTATTCGAAAATATGCGATTCCTATTCGATAAACTTCTTATTGCATAACTTTATCTCTCCTATACAATGTTTTTCGTATTCTTTTTCAATAATTGTGTTCTGGGAAATATGACAAAACTAGAACTGGTGGTAAAGTCAATTAAATAGGAATGACATGTTAAGATGATCATTGAATATAAATTATTTTATTATCGAATAGAAATGACAAAATTATCGGTTAAAGGTGATGAATTCACGAACAGAAATAACATTTTTTTCGCAAAGAATAACAACTAATCAAATAGGAATCATATATTATCGAACAGGAATGACATGATTTAGAAAAAAGAAAAGCAAAATTTTCGAATAAGAATAACAAAAAGTATAATACTGCAACGTTTTTACTCGCTATACCATAAACAGGTGATGGAGGAATATTTCCTTACAAATAAGGGAAGTTCACTTTGGAAAAGATGAAAAAGAAATCATTTCTTTTCTTTATACAATATAGTTTCAGTTGACCTTCATCTTCCATAGTCAGTAAAACTTCCAAACATGAAATAATTGTGGTATATTCAGTGGTGTCTTTAATTTTAAGTTTACTGAGATATATCGAGTCTAAATGTTGAGTTGAACTCCATAGCAAGTGTTTTCTTCTTGTCATGTAAAGTTTTTTTTTTCAAAAACATATTCTGATTCTGCTTCATAGAAATATTAAAACAGGTCGGCAAATAAAGTAGCACAATTAGTGCCCATTAGAATTCCAAGTTTTGAAGGAAGCATTGGTCTCCGAAAACTGCAAAAACTGTGTCGATAAGGAACTCCACCTTCGTTTTGATATCAACTTCAGGATACTTTTGGGTAGAATCAGGGTGATTTTTAACAAAGTGATTTCCGTTTATGACCTATCACAAGATACAGAAATTCCGAGTTCCATTTTTATTGAGAAAGCAGTTGTTCCACAAAAATCCACAAAATGGATGATCATCCCCCTTCTTCCATCCTCTACTTAACAAAATAAATATGTATTGTGGTGTTCGTTCTTGAACAGTTTGATGAACTATGCGAAAAAGATCACTAAACCTTTTATTTTGAAAAAAAAAAATCCGTTTTTTAAGTTGGACATTATAATTTATTAATGTTGTGCATAAATGAATAAGTATTAAAACGTACGTGCATCATGCGTTAAACTCTTACCATTTCCCAAATACTAATGTTAAGAATTTTAAGATTAGAATAAATGATGTGTTGTTAGCCAAAAGCAAATATATAAATAAACAAATTTCTACACTAAATTATATATTGTGTAACTATGTATACTGATATTCATGATTTACATATACAAATGCACTTCTTTTTAAATAAATTGCTAATTAAAAAAAAAAATCAGATATGAAAAAAAAAAATTGACAAGAAAAAAAAAGTAAGGAAAATTTGTCGATTGTCCAAACTAGAAGTCCAAACCCGAAAATCCTATTTCGGGGGGTGGGGGTGGGTGGGGGTGTTAGCATCCAATTACTTTTTTCAAGCACCACCACTTTCTCTTTTTTCTTTGACTACACTGTCATGTGCCTGTTGAAGGGGGAGGGGGCTAAACCAATGTCACTTTCTTCAATGCCTATATTATGTCTATTTTTGCAAAAATGGGGGGGAGGGGGCTAATCATCTCAAGCCCCCCCCCCCCCCCCCGGTCCCGACGCCTATGGCTTACGTAAATCACAGTTTTGAAAACCAAGTCATAAATTTGTGTTTTTATCCTTTTGAATTTAGAACCGGTTTCATGATCAAATTTCCACGACTCGGGTCAGTTTTCAAAAAACTAGGGTCCAAATTCAACACCTTTGGTCTCAGTATTCAACGTTGAAAAATGACCCCCGGGTCAATTTTCAACCCGGGTCAAAATTCAACGTTACACCGGATTTAACAAAGCTAATAAACATCTACGGACGCATGGTACCATCTCTGGTGTTTCCATGAATCGATGTTTTTTTTTATTGTCTTGACATATTTAGTTATCGTATTCTTTGCTAAATTAATGAAAATGATTACTGTTATTATTTTCAGATTACATGTACATTTCTAGCAAAACGTTTAATATATATGTAACAGCATTTGTCGCATGCAATAAAAAAAATGTTCATCATAGAGATTAAAAATCATTGATTGAGCTACGCAAAAAGAATTCTAAAGGCACTGCACTAAAAAATAGAATTGAATCATCTGCTTCATCCAAAAGCAATGTATACAAGTACATGTACCTATCTCGTTGTATGGGTTTCTGTAAATATTTAATCTCCATGCTCCACCACAAATCTGATTGGCATCTCCACTGCATTTCATGTTGCATTCGCTCTCTGGCTTTCTGTTCCTTGTTCTAAGAACATCTCCACAAAAACATTCTCGTCGGAACTATCAAATAATTGTAAAATGAAATATAATGCACGTATATCATAGATTTATTTACTGTTAAATGAGTCAATTTAACATGCAAAAAATAAAGTTACCGCAACACCGTAAAATTTTGTATTCTTCTTTGAGCAATAGTTTCTGCATCGTTCTACAGTCATCAATTCTTCAGAAATAATGTAATTTGATAGAACTCTTTCCCGTTGGTCTTCAAAACAACCTAAATATCCTACTTAAGACAGAGAAAACCAAAATAAGAATAATTTACAATCAAAACACGTTCCTACCCGTTACACATCGTAATTTGGGGAATAATTTATACATATTTGTATTTTGCATAAAAGGTGTACTGACAAAATATATATACAGTAAAATCTTTGTAAATTAATTTGTCCAAATATCCTTACATTATTTGTTATGCTATTCCTTATTTCAGAATAATTCCTAACACTTTTTTGTATGTATATATATATATTCAATAATATACCTTTCTCTTCACATACAGCGTGATTTAATTCGGAACAGGCAAAAGAAACAGAAAACGTCTTTGTCATGCCGCAGTTTATTGCAAGACAAGCAGATTTCTTGTCGGATTCAGTTACTGTCAAATTTAGCGAAAACGCCGCATCTAAATAAATATTCATAATTATAAGTATGCATGAAGATGCATGTATATTTTGATATTTCTGTATACAAAGTAAAAGTTCTTTCAATATTTCTTTACGAATTAATTTTCTTCTGATTAAAATTTTCAACCTAAAGTAAGCTAAGAATTAGGATATAACCAGTCAAAAAATGGAGTGATTACAGACGGAACATACATGTACTTAGAATGATTAAAACACAAGCAAAACTTGTACATGTCACACAGCACACGGGAATCTAAAACTCTGATGAATATTTATAAAAAAAATAAATGTATTAGATCAATTGTGAGCGTCGAGCTCAGAAAGGATACCCTTACTCCCATATGATTATAATGACAAAGTCAATTAAAGCGGTAGCGGATAAGAGATAGGTACTTGACAGACGGACGTAAAGACAGATAGATATAGAGTCAGATGGACGTAGAGAGAGACGGACGTAGAGAAAGACGAGCGTAAATATAAACAGATGTAGAGACACACAGTGTAGACACAAAATACTGTAGATACAAACGGATGTAAAGACAGAGGGAAGTAGAGGCTGACAGATGTACATATGTATAAACAGACGTAGAGACATAAATAGAGACAGACGTAGAGAAAGCTAGACGTAGTGGCAAACATACGTAAATATAGACAGACATAAAAACAGAAGGACGTAAAGACAGACGGACATGGCGACAAACGGACAAACGTAGAGGCAGATGGATGTGGGGAAAGACCGACGTGATACAGTCGGTGTTACACCGAAACTTTCTGTTTTTAAATAAGAAAGCCCAAAGTTTCCAACAAAGTTTATTTTGTATTCCCGTGTAACACTTTACACACAGGACCCGACTGAGTAACTAAATGAACACACAAATTCTACGCTAAATATTAAGAACTGCCCAACCTACATACTGCCAATCACTGCTAAATTAACCCGTTAATTGTGAACACTATGAATTCTGCATTTTCTCATGGCCAGCACTTCGGACATTCAATCTCCCTGAGACTCGGGTGATAAAAGTCAGCAATGCTGATACAAGAGCTAAATTTCCCAGCCAAATCTTAATGAGCGGTCAAGACCTTATCACATAAACAGATCACTGCAGTCTGTAGCTTAGAGCAATTACTACAAATCAACAAGATTAAGATAATATAAATCAAGCATTAATTATACAAACAATTTCACACAAAATTTCACTTTAACTCCTCCCTTCCAAAGATAAAAATTTAACTGTCAATAGTTGAATATTTTCCAATTTCATAATTCTGTATATAGCAACATTAAATTTAACCAGTCACTAAATTCACTTTAGCCAGTCCAAATAAGTATTAAACAGTTAATAGCATTTAATCATCAAAAGAATAATATAAATCCAAAATGAATTTCACTGTAAATCCAAACTGAATGCAATTGAATTTTATGAATATAAAATTTTCACAAAAATTGCCCATAATTCACAAACACATTTCACTTTTCAGATTCTTGATAATCCGTCTGCATTTGTGTTTTTGCTTCCTCTCTTATATCTAACTTCAAAGGTGTACGATTGTAGTGCGAGGGCCCAACGCAACAGTCTCTGATTTTTATTCTTCAAGCGATGCAACCAAGTTAGTGGATTGTGATCTGTTTCTACGTAAAACTTCCTCCCCTCTAGGTAATACGAAAACGATCCGATGGCCCAAACGATAGCTAATAATTCCTTCTCTATTGTTGAATAGTTTTTTTTCCCTTGGAAGTAATTTCTTACTAAGGTAAGCAACTGGGTGATCACCATCTGGCAACTGTTGGCTCAGGACAGCCCCAATTGCGTTATTACTCGCATCTATTTGTAGTACAAACGGTAAATTGAAGTTCGGATTGACCAAAACAGGAGCTGTCATCAGGGCCTCCTTCAGTTTCTTGAATGACTGCACTTCCCTCTCCGTCCATTTTAATTCTGCGGGTTGACTTTTTCTCAGTAGATCAGTCAGTGGTACAGTTATGTCTGCATAATTTCTTATATACTGGCGATAGTATCCAGTTAGCCCCAAGAATGATCATAATTCTTTCTTTGTCAAGGGAAGCGGAAAATCCTCCATGGCCTTCAATTTCCGAGGGTCTGGTCGAATTGATCCCCCTCCAACTATATGTCCCAAACAGATGATTTCTGTTGCTCCCAACTTACATTTTGATGGTCTGATGGTAAGATTGGCCTCATGAATACGCTGAAGCAGCTCTGTTACATGTTTGATATGGTCTTCCGACGTCTGACTGTAAACAATTATGTCATCAAAGTACGCAACAGTATTTTGAGTTCCATCTAAAATACGATCCATAAGTCTTACATGTATGAATGATGCTGGAGACGTCTTCATACCAAACGGCATCACTGTAAACTCGAAAAGGCCAAATGGGGTGATGAAGGCGGATTTCTCGCGTGTTTCCTTTGCCAGAGGAATTGCCAGTAGCCTTTTGTTAGATCAAATCTACTCAAATATTTTGCACTTCCAATTTTCTCAAATATTTCACTCATGCGTGTAATGGGATAAGGGTCCGTGAGAGTTATTTCATTCAATTTTCTATAATCAACACATATTCTAATTGTCCCATCAGGCTTGTTGACAAGGACAATTGGTGAGGCCCACGGACTTTTGGATGGTGTAATAAGTCCTTGTTCTAACATTTCATTCAAAGACTCTTTCACTACCTGTTTCTTCGCTTCCGGTATCCTGTAAGGTCTCTGAGTAATTGGATTCTCAGACGTTGTTCTGATTGTATGTGAGATAACATCACACTTTCCCGGCTTTGATGTGAAAATTCTTGAAAATTTCTGACAAACATCCCTTAAACTCTGTCTCTGTACTTGTGTCAGCCCATGTCCAAAGACAAGATCTGAAATGGTTTCTGTGGTGTCGTTAGGAAATTGCTGTTCAATTTCAATTTCATTTTCTGTTGCTGCCAGTAATGTAGCCCGGTTATAAGGACGAAGTAAATTGATATGGTAAGTAACAAGTCCACGTCGTCCTCCAACATTGATTTTATAGTTAACATCATTTACCTTGTTAACCACGCGAAACGGTCCTTTCCACTGAGCGGACATCTTGCCAGGTTCGGTCGGGAGTAAAACGAGTACATCATCACCAGGACGCAAAGTCTTTTTGGATGCTGAGCGATCATACCAATCTTTGATTTTTCGACTGCCTCATTTCCAAGTTGTTTTGCACGAGTTGTGTCACATCAGCCAGTTTGTTTCGGATGTTGACGACATGATCTATCTCTGATGTTTTTATTTCCTCCTCACCAGTCATGAAGCTCTTTAAAACACTAAGAGGACCACGTACTGGCCATCCGTACAACAGGTCAAATGGTGAAAAGCCAGTCTCCTCATGTGGGACTTCTCTGTATGCGAAAAGTACATACGGAAGTAGTACATACAAATCTTCGACATTCTCCATACACAACTTTTTCAACATTGATTTTAACGTTCCATTAAATCTTTCAATTTTGCCATTTGCCCGCGGGTGATAAGGTGTTGTAGTTATCCCCTTGATTTTGATTTTCTCAAATAAATCTTTCAGGAGCGCACTCGTGAAATTTGATCCTTGGTCAGTGAGTATGGTTTTTGGAATTCCAACCCGACTAAATAATGTAATGAGAGTGTCGGCTATTCGTTCAGCTTCACAACTTGCTAAAGCAAAAGCTTCTGGGTATCTCGTAGCTTCATCAATGACAGTCAGAATGTATTTGTTACCTTGAGTTGTCCTATTGAGTGGGCCAACGATGTCCATTGCGATCTTTGAAAACGGATCAGTTATGATAGGTGTGTTGACCATAGGAGCTCTTTCCGCACTTCTTTTTGCCACTTTTTGACAGGTGTCACATTCTGCGCAGTAGTCCGACACATCTTGGAACAATCCAGGCCAATAAAATGACGCAAGAATACGTTGTTTGGTCTTCTCAGTTCCTAAATGACCAGCTATTGGCTGATCATGTGCCAGCTTCATCACTGCTTTTCTTAGCGATGCTGGAAGTACCACTTGTGTTCCCGACAGATTCTTTTTCTTGGAAGTCCATTTTCGTTTCAATATGTCATTCTCCCAGTAAAACGCTTTATGTTCTGTCTCAGTTTGTGATACATTTTTGAATGCTTTATCCCTACAATTTTTGATTGTTGGGTCTTGTTTCTGAAGATTCGATAGTTTACTTCCATTCACCATGCTCAACTTTTCCAATGAAATTTCCGGTAAATCAAGGTTCACTTCACCAGCATCATCCTTAGTTACCACGACGTTTAAGTCCCTTGGTACGACATCACATTTATTCATGCTATTTTTGGTACTTACTTCATTTTGTTCTTGTTCTTTTGCTTTGGCTCTCGTAACCACAGCTGCTACTTTGTTCCTCTCCAGAACATCTATTCCCAATAAACCATCTGCAACCAGATCAGGTACTAAACCTACCTGAACATGTCCCTTAAACATTGGTGTTTCCAGGTTAACCACTGCTAACTTAGCTTCCAATGGCTGTCCAATAGCTGTAACCAAGGAAGTAGTTTGTCCATGCAGAACACATTTTGGATCAACAAGATCCTCCCGCAATAGCGTCATAGATGCTCCAGTGTCCTTGACCATTGACACTTCCACATCATCCACTTTCCCCGGAACATAATGTAAACCCCATAATGCTCCTTTCACGAAACACGACGCTAGATTACCTTTCTTTGGGCATTTGTTTGCATAATGTCCAAAGTTCCCACAGCTAAAACATTTCACTTTTTCCAAACTTTTCTGTTTTCCGGAGTTCCTGGCTCTTCTTCTCACCTAACACTTTAGGATTTTGAAGTTTTCTGTCCTCGGCCGACTTTGTTAGTAGAATGTAATCCTCAGCAGCTTCAACTAACTCACTACTTCCCTTATTCCGTCTAATCCACTGGGCTTGTTGCGGAGATAACGCCTTTAAGAAATACTCTTCGCGGAACTTTTGTACGGGATCTTTCTCATCAATGAAACAACTCAAATACAGATCTATTCTCGACATTAATCCTCTGTAAGTTTCTCCTGGTCTACGTCAAAATCTTAATGAGCGGTCAAGACCTTATCACATAAACAGATCACTGCAGTCTGTAGCTTAGAGCAATTGCTACAAATCAACAAGATTAAGATAATATAAATCAAGCATTAATTATACAAACAATTTCACACAAAATTTAACTTTAACAGTCGTACGTTAAGACATACGGACGTAAAGACAGACGGACGAAGAGACATAAAAAAACAGAATGAGACAGACATAGAGACAGATGAACGTAAATACAGACGGACGTAGAAACATACGGACGAAAGACAGACGGTCGTAGAGACAGACAGAATTAAAGACATACGGGCGGACGAAGAAACAGACGGAAACAGAATCAGACAGACATTGATTCATACGGACGTAAAGACATACGGACATAGAGGCAGACGGACGTAAAAACATACGGATGTAGAGACAGACGGATGTAGAGACAGGTGGATGTACATGTTAAGACGGACGGACGTAAAAACAGACGAAAGTAAAGACAGAGGGTCATAGAAAGAGACGGACGTAGAGAAAGACAGATGTATAGACAAACAGTCGTAAACACAGCTAGACGTAAAGAGAGACGGATGTGAAGACAGATTGACGTATAGAAAGACAGACGTATAGACAGAAGGATGTAGAGACAGACGGATGTAGAGACATACGGGTGTAGAGACAGATGGACATAGAGACAGAGGGATGTAGAAACAGACAGATGTCGAAACAGAAAAACGTAAAGACAGACGTAGAGACAGCTAGACGTAAAGACATACGGACGTGGAGACAAACGGACAAATGGACAAACTGACGTAAAGACAAACGAACATAGAACAGACGGACGTAAAAACAGATGTAAAGACAGACGGACATAGAGATAAACGAAGATAGGGCCAAACGGACGTGGAGACAGAGGGACATAGAGACAGACCGACATAAAGACAGACTGACAATATGACAGATGGCTGTAAAGAAAGACGGACAGCTAAACAGATAGACGTAAAGACAGACGGATATCAAGACAGACGGACGTAGAGACAGACAGATGTAAAGACAGACAGACATTAAGACAGACGGTTGTAGAGACAGATGGATGAAAAGACAGACTGACATAAGAACAGATAGACGTATACACAGACGGATGTAAAGACATACGGACGTAGACACAGAAGGACGTGAAGACATACAGAGTAGAGATAGACCGAAGAAGAAACAGACAGACAGATTGATTAAGGGACTGATTGACACCTCTATTAATATATCCACCTTGGTTTTCAAGCGGGAGGTATGATAAAAAAGTGCACGTGTGTCTGCATAAACACTGATTTAATGTTAATATAGATGTTTTATTAAGAAAGTAGAATTTCGTTTAGACATCATATTGATTACCTGCAGTATATACAGAATAGGCATTAGGTCCCCCACATTCTGAAAACTGGACGCCTTCTGTGTTCTTTTGGCATGTTTCATTACATTCAGTAGATGAAATCGAAGTAGCCAAAATTGGACGCTCAAGACACATGCATTTATTATTCTACAACAAGTTTATCTTTTAAACAACACGTAAATTACATTAAAAACAGGAACTGGCGAAAAAAAACAGTAAATAGATGAAAAAGTATCAACAAATTTAAAATGCATTGACACAACGCGAAATGTAATAGCACGTAATGTATTAAATTGGGATTATTGCATTTTGCGTTATAACATTTTGCGTTGAAATCAACGCAAAACGTTATAACGCAAATGGTATAAAATAATTTTTGGATTATTACAATTTGCGTCGACACAAAATGTTATTATGTACTTTTTCATTGTTACATTTTGCGTTGTAAATAATTTTTGCATTGAAGACAAGGCAAAATGTAATACTATAAAATGGGAAAATTTGGCGCATACGTGTTTTAGCGCAAACGTAATTGGGAATACATTAGCGCAAATCAATTTTAGCGCTTGTACTTGTCATTGAAATATATAAATGTAATATTATTTTTTTAAACCAGACTTTACTTTTTGGTTAGTCAAGCATGGAAACACAATATAGCATTCCCGTACATAAGTAAACAATCTTCAACTTTACCATGGTGTTGCAATCACATAGACGTGGCACCATGTTCGATTTTATTTTAATTTTATTTTTAATAAAAGAAATTAAGTATTTACACATTTTATTCATATTAAATCAATGCATACATTGAGGGAAAGTTACTTAGATTAAAAATAATCATATTCAGGTATTGTCTGCAAGCTCAATGGCCATGCTTGATTGCATTGTTTATCTCGGGGCGATAGAAGATTGACACGCCGAGTTGCCAGACTTTGAAGGTGCTTACGATAAGTATCGGGTAACAACTAACAATAGTTCAATTAAATAAATTAGGATTTGGCCGAATTTTCTGGATTGATCCTACCATGTACAGAACGCTAGTGTATATATTAAATCCAACGACCCTTCGACATCACGTTATTGCGCGATCCGGTTTACATGTACTTATGTGAAAGCTTAATTTGAACATATTCAAAAAAATAATATTTAGAATTCCGTTAGCGCACAATAAATCTTAGCGTTCAGATGCTCTTGCGCCAAAGGCGCTAAAATAAGTAGTGCGCCAAATATTTTCGTTTTACAGTAACTATTATGTAATAAAAATATTAAAGCTAATTTTCTGGATTGTGTTAAACATAAAACATCATAAAGTTGATTTCAATACGTAACCATGAGAAAACTTATTTTACAAACTAATTAAAATTATGACAATTAGGTCAACGGTTTGGCTTTTACAAACATGACTGATTCAGAATGTTTGTCTACCTCTGACTCTGTTTCTGACATTTGAATTAGAAATACTATTATTATGAAACATTAATTTAACTTTGATTGACACATCTTTTCTTATTAATCAGTCTTATAAAACTAATTATCCCATAAATTGCATATTATTATCATAGGTCCATCAAAAACTCTTGATATGCATATTCAGTATTTTTTACATTGGTTAGAAAATTAAAATTTTATGTGTGTGTGTTTAGAGAGGAGGGCAGGGATGGGATCGGGTGTTTACTTCGTATAGTGATTATTGTATTTCTATGACAAGCAGAAACAATCCATTTAATTATTGTTTTACTACAAACATGTGGGTTAATTTAGGATGCGATTTAAAATAACTGCCGGAAAGCCAATGTACAATTTTTTGAAACGTGTTTGAGAAAAATAAAAAGATTAGGTACTAATTGAGAATTCCCATGCTCACATTCACAAATTCAGTTTTCCTTGTTAAAATTAAAGTATATTTAAATACCGATCACAAAGTCTCAACAAGTACATGTAAATAAGATTCCAGTTTTTAAATTCGATATTCGTAAATTCGATATGTACATGTAACTGTTTAAATTAGTTATTGCTCAGTTACTAGAAATTTAAAGTTCATGCATTTATATATTTTTAGTTTTTCTAAAATTACCTCTATACCAATTCTCATGAGCATTGATCATAGAACGTGTATTGGGTAGCATATTGTATATTTCGAAGTTGTACACGTTGTGAAAATTGTCATGTCACCCATTCTCAATATAAGGGCACAAATGACTCTCTGAATTTTAAAAAAAAAATGAAGTTCAAGATAACAATTTTTCTATCAATTACATTTGAAAGAAAGTATCTAAAGATTTTGTTACAAGTTTTTTTTTATCAAATTTTAATACGTGGAATAATGACAAGACGTTGAATTAGAGGGTAATTGTATTCAGAAATGTAGCTGGAAACGTACGTCACTCTTTCAGCAATGTCCAAAAAGGTCTACAGAAAAAAATTTAGTCATTTAAAATCACAATTGGAATATCTTATCTTAACACCAGCACATCCTACCAACTCTATCAGCAACATATTCTCTCGGCATTCGAACGTGCGTTTGATTTTTCCTTTTAAAAAACAAAGGTTACTTTTTGATCCAGATGTATAATTTTTTTATAATATATGCTTTAAATTCTTCTCTGTTATGATTAGAGCAATCAGGTTGGAATCTTGTCATTTTCTATAGATACTGGAACTTAACATGTACATGCAGTAAAATTCTATTTTGTAGTTACTGTCTTTTTTAACATATATCCATGCCGATTTAGAAATCTACGTAAATATAACGTACATTTCATGATTTATTTCTGTTTGATAAAAACCTTTAAATTCATCTAAAAATTCATCGTTTTGTATAAGTTTATTCCAAAATAGATTCTCTATGTAATTTCATTGTGTTATATGTCACAATCATCACTATAAAGACAAGATTGCCTCGGAATATGAGTAGGTAACATACATTTCAAACTTGTAATAATATGTAAGTAAATATTGAAAAAAGCAATTATTGACATAAAAATCATTTCAATGAAGCGTTTTAACGCAGTAATATAAGAAATCGTAATGCAACAAACGAGGTTATTTGTCAAAACTACATGAATGTCACGTCACTTCGGTAACGTTCATTTCACATATTATTGGGGAGTCCCCTCCACCTCAGTTCAACCATTCTTTTGTGCTTTTTTCGCTGAAATTGACACCGTAGCCTAGTTACTTCTACCTGTGTGCAAGGGTAAAGACAAAAACAAATAAGAGTAAGACAAACTTTGCTATGATCCAACAAATGCTCGTGTTTGGCCACTGAAACGTAACATAAATGATCAAAATCTATTCTGAATATATCCATCCACAGTCTTGTTAATAATTTCATTTAGTATGCTGCAACATCCTTTGTCAAAACACAAACATATGTGCCTTTCAGCAGATCTGGAAAAATATAACCCAAAATGCAATGATTCAAACAAAACTGAGTGTTGTGTGCCTTCAATATTTGAAATGTTTTGGGTTTACCGGGTATTTGTTTTGTTTCTTTTTCTTTTCTTTTTTTTTTACCAATTATAAGCCTATGCATTCCTTATTTTAAATTATCAACAACAATTAAATGAATTTTGATGAAAAGTAGGATTTTAAAAGTAAACAAACTGTATAAAGGTTGCCAAACATGAATTGAAGACTCTTAAAAATAAATTTTCTAGCATGTGGTAACTGTCTGCCACATTTACAAGGATTGGAGGTGCATTTAGATGGCTTTATGTGGTCAGTTGTCAAATGTATCGCTCGTGTAAACGCAATCCATTAACTAAATTAAAAAAAAATTCAGTTAGAAATACGCAAAATATACGTTACCATATGTAACGTACATTTCAAATATAAAATACAAATATAAAAATCAATTCTCTTCCACAAGCGTACGTTAGACACGCAATTTATTTGCTCATACTTGGATATTTTACTTGAAAAAGACACTAATAGTAATCTAACAACCAAGCTATATGATAAACCGGATGACTTTAACTTTTCTATCGTCAACTTCCCTTACCTATGCAGCAATATACCTTCATCACCTGCATACGGAGTATTTATATCTCAGTTGATTCGAAATGCAAGAGCATGCTCTACGTATGAACAATTTCTTAAACGAGGTAAATTATTGACAAGCAAGTTGATGAAACAAGAATATCAACAGTCTCGTTTAAAGTCATCATTTCGTAAATTCTATGGTCGATACAATGACCTTGTCAGCAAATACAATTTATCATTGAATGAAATGCTGACTGACATTTTTCATACCAATTGTTAGTCCATTATTTACACACTGAATTGACCACAGATTTTTCCGTTATTTCCTGATTATGACAACGAGCACACGGCGGGTGTGACCGGTCGGCAGGGGATGCTCACTCCTCCATGGCACCTGATCCCACCTCTGATGTTTCGGAGGTCCGTGTTTGCTCTGCTCTTATTTTGTATATTTGTTTAATGGACGTTGAGATTGAATACTGTTCGTTATTTCCATATCCTTCATTAATACTATTTGAACTTGCATATCATAAGAAATGCATCATACAGGTTTCGTATTCAGAAATATATATCAGATATCAAAATTATATTACATATAAATGACCTTAATATAATTTTTTTTTCCTCAGCAGAAACGTTTCTTTTCATTAATTTTATGGATTTAGCCGACCTCCAACTTTTGAAACTTTCCGTTGTGTACACATTCGAGTGTGTGAAAGTATGAGAATACATGAAAATTCGTGCAAGATTCACTTAATTCGAATTTCATGGTAACGTACATTTCAGTCACCTACATTTCGAATGATCACTTTTCATGTAAAAAATAATTTCTAATAGTGTTAAACAAAACGTCTTTGCCAGTTTACAGGGTACAAGGGGTTGCTTACTCAGAGTCGTCTTATATTTTCTACTTAATGAATATTCTTAATGGAAGAATATAGTGTAACGTACATTTCTTTCTTATCTCTACGATTGAAAATGTCTTTTATTCCGTAAACATATTTATAAAAGTTGCTCAAATTGTTCAATTTCATGTTACATTATCTAAGTATGAGTTAATAATCCTTTGAAATTTCAAATTTAGCCCATCAATAAATAAAGGAGTATAGTTTTTGTGTTTGCTTGTAATGTGGTTGAAATAGAATTAAGCGACAGGGACATTGCTCAATAAAAATGATTTATTATCACAAAGAAAATGTATTTATTGTTATGAAAAGAAATAGATATGATAAAAGGTTTAACTTATCAGAAAATTTTTACTTGAGAATCAAAACTGCATATAACACAGAGGGGATTCATCATAATATTTGCCTTGGCGACAGTAACGTACATTTCAAATGCGCTACTATGTTTGAATTTGGAAATCCTTTAATACTCTTTCAGATCGATAATTATATGAATTCTTATTCATTGTTATATGACTATTCATAGTGTTGATTTGAAAATTACATCAGTGGTATTTCTTCTAAATTATAATGAGGCGACATTATTTGAGCCCTTATATTGAGAATGGGTGATATGAGCACACCTCAGAGTTGGTTGCTTTTTGTACCGAGGAATAGACACATGAAATTGCCTTTTCATTGACAACTCAAAGCAGGGGGAAACTGTAAACAAATGGACTTGTACAACGGAGTGGGGAAACTCTAATTTTTATCATTGTAAATCATCTGTATGACTGATCACGGTAGCTCAGTCGGTAGAGCACTCGCTCCGCGATCGGGAAGTGGTGTGTTCGTATCTCGGCCGCGACTGACCTAGTCGTTAAAATTGGTAGCAACTGTTCCTTCGCCATGCGGTTGGCACTTTGAAGTGAAAGTTGTGGGTCCTTCGGATGAGACCTTAAAAACCGAGGCCCCGTGTCGGCGGCAGGCGTTGGCACGATAAAGATCCCTCACTGCTCAATGGCCCTGAGTGCCGAGTAAAGGTCAAAATTTGAAGCCCTTCACCGGCATACGGTGACGTCTCTATATGAGTGAAAAATTCTCGAGAGGGACGTTAAACAACATACAATCAATCAATCAATCATCTGTATGTAAATATGAGCATGGGATTAATAGATAACAATGTACATAATGCATTAATCGTGTAAAATGCTTGGAAAATGCATCACATCTTTCCGAGAGCGATTAAAAAAACCCAGCCTTTTCGAAAAACACATGTAGTATTTTATGTAGTAACCCATAAATGCATTAAATGCAACTCATTGAGCTGATTGGTCGATTTGTCAATCAAGTACATGTGAATCTATTTCGACGTCATAGAAAATAGTTTCCTCGACCTGATGATACTTGAATGCTTTTCTCGCGCACATGCGCTGATCCAGCATAAACGTCAATTCTTCATAAATATGCATTAGGATATCGTGTTCTTATCCCGACCAGTACTTTGTTAATACCGAATATTTCGTCGAATTTGCATGAATGCTTCATTTTTGATAGCTTATAATACTTCAGAAATTTTTGTTTCGTTTCAGCTGTGCAAAAATACTGTTTAACACGGCATACATATCTTTATTATTGATTGAAAAAACTATATGAATTATGTTTACTTTTCTCTTTATTGGGGTTTGTGTGTTTTTTATACTATTTGTATGAAAGTATGTTTTAAAAATTTCATTCACATATATGCAGCTACGAAACCTGATTCAAAGTATTGAAGGGTTTAACTTATGTGTTCTTATTGTATCTCTCATATTTTTATTGAATAGTTTTTAAATCAATATTTTTACAAGTACAGGTGTGTTTCAGACATTACTTTCAGAAATGTGTTTCTTGCGCAAAGAGATGCATTTGCTTATAGTAAAATAAGATTTAAATTCATAACCTTATTTACGTAGAACCTTTTTGCATTTAAAATAGTAGAAAGAGTAAATGCAAAAATTTATCTCGTTTTTTATTTGATATTTTGATTTTGTTTTTTTTACGTCAGTAGTCCTAATTTCTATACAAATGTACATAAGATGGAAATTTAGGTCACATTAAATTGTACATTTTAGGTTCAAAAAGGTATAATTTCAAGAAAAAAAATTGCATAAATATGACTTTCAAATTATATCAAATAGAATAATAGGAAAATAAATCATATGCTTATTATCACATCGACAGAAACTGTTCCCCTTTGAATAATCTTAAACTTAATTTCATCTGAATTTACCTGACAGATGAAACGTAATGTTTAATATATCCTAATAGCATGCATTTACGATTTTGTACATTTTATCTGTATCTACGTGTAGTATCATTAATGAATAACTTTCTAACATTCATGGAATTTATATTTATGGATACAGTAATATACAATTAAAAATACCTTAATTCCGAAAATTGTAGAATTTAGAGATATACACATTTCATGACAAAATCCAGCGGAAGAATAAATCATCTGGATTTCTGGATATCCATGTATATCCCTTGAATCATAACAGCCTAAAATGCAGAAGTAATCCAATGAATATTTCTTTTTTGCGATCATAATTCTTTCTGTCTCTCTCTCTCTCTCTCTCTCTCTCTCTCTCTCTCTCTGAATCCACAAATTCAGCATTACCTAGAATCTTAATCCATAATGACTGTCTGTGGTAGAGGCCAGACCAGAATTCCATTACTGGTGAAGCAGAAGAGGTATTGCTGGGTAATGTATCATTATTTTTGTGACATTCGAGCTGAGCTTCAAACCAATTCAATGACATAATAAGAGACGTACTTGAGATATCACCTGAAAATGAAAAAGGATTGTCAAATTTCATGTTTTTTTTTTAGAGGAGAGGTAAGACCATTTATGTCTTTTTTTTTTTTAATATTTTATTTGTCATATATGTCAAAATGTTTATGTAATTTTAGAAAATAAAGTTATCCGGCTTAAATAGGTATAAGTTTTTTAAAAAGTTGCTTAAATCTTTTCAGTCATCTCCATATGCAAAATTCATAAAAAAAGACATGAATCTTTTTTTTGTATCTTTAAGATATAAAGGCCTAAAAAGTAATGCAGTTATGTTGATTAGAATCCACACAGAATGGGATGTGCAGCAAAAAAGGTTTTACATGTATATCCTTAACCAGAACTGTTTCTTATTAAAGTTTTTAAGAATATTTTAAATTCATTCTTTTAACTTCATCATTGATGAACCATACATATGAATATCTTATGCAAAAAGTTATAAGTAAAACAAAACCCACTTCGAGAAAGTTGTTTAGGGTACTTAAGACCTGTTAACACTCTGTGATACAAATTTGTACACTAATAATAAATATTTTCTCCAAAAAAATATTTTTCTTCCTTCAACACTTCAGATTTTTTTTATATATTTAATAGCGAAATATGCATTAAAATATATATACTGGCAAGGAAAATTTTTCAGGATTTTATAACAATCCTCACCTCACGTAACAATCAAAATCGAAGGTTACATGCTTTTCAAAAATGTTTAAAAAGAAAACATGGTGTTTACAATAGAGAATTTTTCCATGTCATATCATTCTTAAATCATCATTAGTAAACTTAATTTCAGCAAGAACAGAAAAATACAATGAAATACAAACCATTGTGTATCAAAAGCCAAGTGGACAGCAGTATTTGTGAGACAGTCTTTAGCACAGACATTTTACGTATGTCTTCCTCAATCTAAGATATAAAAATATAATCGTTCACTTGATATTGAAAGAGAATCATTTGTTCAGGTCAATCATAAGGAAAGAATGCAGAAGTTATTTCCTTCCTAATTTATATTTGAACAATGGTTCAGTATTCATTGCGTTGATAAAAGATTCATAAGAACAGAAAATATCTGATAATAATTCAGAAAAAAACTCCTTTAACATCCTTGCTAGTGTTTCTACGTAGAAAGGTTAAGTCCACACATATAATATATATCGCTGTTATTTATTAATTTCCATACATCTCAAATAATTGTTCCGTAGAAAAACAGTAAAGTAAAAAATTAAATATCATAGAATAGCAGCACAAGGGTACATACATATGTAACCTTACCTGTTTCGTGTCTATGGAACATTTCAAAAAACAGTGGTGGTATTCTGAAGGATTTGACCATTCACTCCTATATAAGTTTTAGTTTAGACGTGAATGTGGCTTACATCTTCCTGATAAAAATTACTCAGCGTTTCTTTTTAATAACTTCCTCCTACGAAGCATTTAATGCTAATTACCCTTAAAAATACTTCTTATCATTCATCAAGATCCGGGGTGTCAGTTTACCAATTTTGCAGCCAAAAACAAGAATTCAAAATATTCTTATTTGTTTTTTTCCTCCTCATTTGTCTCTCAGCTAGGTATATTATCATTTTTATCTACTTTAAGGAAAGTAATACGACGTAATATCCTGATGTATTCTTTTTTCCTTTTTGTATGATGTGAATTGTACTGTAAAATTTAATATTATATCATTGTTTGAAGTTAAAAATTCAAGAGGCTGGGGGTTGTAGCCATTTTAAGACTATTTCGACCTCCTTTAGAAGAGGAGATCCATATAAAGAAACACAAAAATGATCAAATTATAAAACTAAAATGTATGAATTTTTCTTTGCCAAATAATAGTTGACACCTTAAGATACTTATTTAAAAAATAAGTTAAATCTAGTAATTAATTTGTGGTTGATTTGTTGCCTCCTTAAACTTCCGTGGTGTTATATTCAAATGCTTAAACCTAAACCTCAAATTTAGGATAAATCAAGCAGACAATCAGAAACCCATCGTCGCAAACCACGGCCAAAATGTAAGCTCCTCTTCAATCTGGCCGTGGTTGAAGAAGGAGAGAATTCTTCGTAGCTCATTAAAATATTGACCAATGCGAGTAAAGCATTGTCGGATGATGAACTTTATCGCGACCTTTCAATATCCAATCGCAGTATAGGAAATATTTCTTGTATACCGTTGACGTCAGTTGTTGATTTCGATTGCGATGGAAACATAACTTGCCACTGACTGATATGACATCACAATACAGAGGCGTAAATATCCAAGATTACGACACTTTTTGTGATCAAGCAGCCACGGATAAAAGAGCTATATATGCGGACTCCGGACCGTGGCTCGAGACGATGTCAGAAACCTAGTTTTAAATCTTAATAGATCCTGCTTTTCTGCTAAAAAAATCTCAATAATTAACTCTAAGTTATCGATGAACATATTAGTTTTCAAAGTGATATCAAAATTTTAGAAACCCGTAACGTAACGTAGAAAAGCTTATACATGTATGTAAAATAACTCCTAAATTAGGGATTTTTTATTCAAAGATACCAGTGATACTGTGATAGTTTTTGTTGGGGCTTATTCTCAACACCAGTATTTTATTATAAAATCAAACCTTTGGATTTTCAGTTTTAACACATCTTCATGGACACAAGCTACATTTCTTTTAAGTGCGCCACACTTACAAGTCTAGCAATACTCTTTAATTATAGACTATAATTTATCTAATTTTCATAATAAAAAAAATGCACAATGATTTTCGAACGTCATCCATATAAACAGTAATGCATGCGTTTTTACATTCTTGTTGTGTTTTTGAATTTGTACACACCGTTGAAAAATTGTATAAAATTAATGTACCAATCTCAAATCAATAAACTAAATATATTTCATTAATTTTGAGTTGATTTAACAAATGTTTTCTTTTCTCTTACGTCATTTCAACCGTAGTAAACATTTTTGTTTGATTGGACGCTGTCCCGTTAAGATGGCCGACGTCGCTTTTTCTGTTGATTTTTGACACATACTTGTTCATGTTGTTAGGGTTTTTGTTTAGTATTTTCACTGTTTATATAGTTAGCGATACTGACAATATCAGAAAATGATAATAGTTTGTTATTTGTGTTACATATAATGTTTTTGTTAAGTTTTGACTTGTTTTATATAGTTAATAATCATTTTAATCGGAAAACTTTATGTGAGAATTAATGGAATTTTAACTTTGATCCGTGCTCACTATCTGCGATTTTAATGACCCCGATTTTTACATAAATGATAAGTTCAATGAATAGAAATTGAATTATTCTGACTTGTTTTTTTTATAAAAAAAAATGTTTTGATATACAATAAATTTCTACAGAACTATTCATTTTAACAAAAACGTCATTATCAACGAACATTTTGGACAACCTTCGTATGTAAAATAAAGATATAGGAAATATATTTGTGAAACTCATCACGACATGTTTAAAAAGTTATAATGTTTGCTGAGTTTGCCCTGTCGTTACGTCATAATTTTTAACTTGAAGATCATGACATCTATCAAATGACATAGGAATAAATTTTACTCATCAACAAAACAAATATCTTAACAAATAGTGATATGTTCATTTAGAATTTCCTGAATATTGTATATAAGGAGATATGGCACATTCTGACCGGCTGTAGTATATGAATATATGAATGCATGCCTCTTGACATTCAAATATATATTATTGATATTAAATATATTATTATTTGAAACAAAATCATTGTCAAACGGAAAAAAAATTCATTAAATTAAGTACAATACAGAACTTTACTTGTAAATGTTTCCCAGACTGTATCCCTTCTACATTTTAATCCCTTTAACAAAAATAACTTTAGTAATCTATACTTTACGATAGGAGATACTTTGATTTACAATGGAACTTTACTTTAGAACAGTTTAAAGATTAAGAATTTTAATATTACCATAAATTTATCATATTCAGGATTTAAGTTTCTGAATAGTATGTACATTTACTAGAAAAGTTTCTTTCAATAAAAGAAAATTAATTCAATTTAAAAAAAAAATACATTTTACATACATACAAGTATTTTGATTTACCAATGCTAAAACTTAAACTATAGTTGAATTGTATGCAATGTACTTATACTTTCGTTTACTATAGTTTACTGTGATAATTTTTGTTTGGGCTTATTTTCAACATTTTTTTATTAAGTTAGGTAAATATTTCACATTTTAAATCTTTTTTAGGTTACCGAATAGCTATCACGGAATGAAATATATGGAGATAACGAACAGTACTCATGCTCAAAAGTCCATTAACTAATACAAATCATTAGCAGAGCAAACAATAAAAGAGATAACGCGAATATTCAACACATAAGTAAATATATCGCCACGTATCTCAGGTAACAGAAAAAAAAAAATTGCGAACAAAAGTTTGACAGATACTTTCCCTAATACTGTTGTTGGGCTGTTTCCTCGATTTATAAATCGAGATCTCGAATTACATAATTCGTTTTTACAGATTAATGATTCGAGATTTCGATTTGTAACATCAGTATAATGATTTTGGCAATTCATGCTCTCGAATTCCATTAAATATATACATGTATACGAACACATCCAACTATTTGAATCAATGAATGCTTTCTATGTATCTGTTTCAGCAAACGGTCGTTCTGAACCTCTTTTATAACTAAGTCTGTATATATGTTTTGTAGAAAAAAAACATATTAACTTTAACTAGGGCCTTCAAAGATTCTAATATACAAATATCAGACTTTTGTGTACAAATATCTGTACTAGAATATATTTGAAAAATGTTCATGTAATCTTCTCATTTTGGACCGTAATATGTAATAAAAGGTAGAATGTAAACTACTACAATATTCTATTCATTTCTGATATATACAGATATATACAAAATAATAGTAATATTAATGAAATCTTGCGAATGGTTTACATTCCGAGGGAACGAATTGTTTAAACTGAAAGAATGAATTACAATCCGACGTAACGGATTGTGTAATTTGAGGGAACGAATTGATAATCTGTGAGAACGAATCGGCAATTCGTTATGACAGATTGTCAATCCGAGAGACAGATTGTATAATTCGAGAACTCGGATTACTTTTATACATTTTTTTTAAAATCCTATGTCCTTTCATGGCTTTTGTATAGTCAGCCTCTATAAGTTGATTGTTCACTTTTATGGAACATTCCTCGTATTGCTGCTCTTTTGAGGAGTTAACGTGATCGTAATCATTTTCACTTATACTTTTGATTTTATACATCAACGGAAAATAGACGTTCAAAAAACGTGAACTGTTTCAATCAGAATTTATTTTTTAATAAAGCTATTTATTATCAAATAACTTAAATACTTCTTGAAATAACTTAGTATTACCCACTCTGTAGTGAATAAATTTTTTTCCCAGCGATGGACAGTTACGTGATCAATGTCAAGTATGTGTACCGAATGTAAGTCATTAACAAAACATACTTTGTCCTTTCTGGAAAGTGTTGCTGCTTTAAATAGAATACCTGATTTATTAGTAAAAATTTCAAGCAAATAGGCTAATGTCGAAATATATTTGACCTTTACCAAGTATTTTGTGTACTTATAAAGTTATGCTCTCGATTTAGATAAAGCAGCAGCACTCTGCAAGTTAAGGGAAATATCCTTTATAACCAAAAGTAAGTTAAGATCTACTGACTGTATGCCCTTGCGAAAAGGCAATCTAATAAGGTACTTCGATGATAAACATGACTAATCTGTACGCATAAACACACTTTAATTAATTAGATACACTCTCTCGATTATTATTGAGTAATTGCACTAAAAAACATTTTATATTGGTATAAGTAGTCTATCTAAAATCTGTAAGTAATATCCTGTTTATTAGTCCCCTACCGGTGAAACTTG